AGTCCTATGAAATCTCATGCAATTAAGGATTTACACTATAAATGATATTTGAAAGTCCTTTCAAATTACACTCACAGCTACTTGCCTAAAGGTTTGTGCTACTTTAAGAGAAGTTTCAGACATCACTCGCATTGTAAATCCTTAATAATCCTTGTTGTGCTTGCATTCATACGATTACATGTACCTATACAAGAATTTTTGAGAGATAATTTTCTATTAATAACGTATCAGCTGGTTTGAGGAAAGTCTGTTTACAGAAGCACTGCACTGTACTTGTGAGGAGACCCCAGATCAAGAGTGTTTGCCAGTGATTGTCGTGCTTTTATGACCGCAGTGTGAAGTCATGATTTGGCATATTATTTCAAGGGGCGTTTACGTATTTACTGGAGATCCTAGCGTGGAAATCTTTATATAACTTTATCTGTAAGTTCTGGCCAGACTGTCTTCAGACAATCTGCAGAAAGCCGCCCACAAACAAACAGTCAGTTTCTTTAGCACTCTTCACAAACGTATACGCTACTTAACAATTTTAAGATTTGCGGAGAAATCTGAAATCAGGAACTTTAAAAGATGATCTCTATTATTGACGAAAAGACGTGTTTTGACTAATTGTTAGGCCTTTTATTACTTCCAAAATTTATTCAATACAGTGAGACCATTACCATCTTTGTTAACTGGTTACTGCAAATTTAATGTACAACGACTAATAGCACTGCAAAAAACGTACTTGCAGGGACAATACTTTTAAATAAGTGTGCATCAAAATCTGAAACATTTATGTACATCTTTACATTGCAGCCTTCACCAGGAAGTAATTGCTCAGAGGGCCTTAGACAGGTACGAATTTGTGCTACGGCATTCGAGATAGAAACTATTTAAATCTGTAGATTGGTTTGCAGATACACTGTACATACAGGGATCATTCCTTAACATACAGAGTTAAAGTATTTAATAATCGAATTTAAGATTCTTGCTAACTTATAGACATGTTAGGTGCATTTTAACTTTGGGCTGGCATGTTTTCTTTCCGTATAATTAATACCTTACAAATAGAATGTAGTTCTATAATTTAGTGATACTTTAAATTATTATTATGAAGCCATCTGTGATATACTGATCTACACTGATTTTTCTGTACAGGAGGCTAACAGAAGAACTTGTGCGATTTAAGGCATCCATTAGCTCTTTGACCAGGTTTGTATCTTTGTTATATGTGCTTGTTACTGTAATATTATTGAACACAAATAACTTTCGATATTTGTTCCATTGCTATGTCTTTTCCACAGAAAAGGCTATGTTAACAGTTAGTACTACATACCATGTCCCCGGGTAAATGGTATAACATGTGATAAATTTGCTTCAAGCTTATTCCTAACGTTGAAGTAATTTTAGGTTTACGTTAATTTTGAGACTGTATATCATACCTGTGTTTTTCAACAGTGAACTTGCTTCAGTTAAAGCTCACGATCGAGAGGTTACTCAGCAGGCTAGATACGCCCAAGATGAGGTAATATGGCTGCCATGTGATTCAGGTCTAATAAAAGTTGTAGGAGATTTAAACTTTGTTTCTTTCATAATTCTTTTAAAAACACTCCCAGGTCTTTCCAGAGGAACCATTTTCAAGCCAATCAGAAAAAGAGTACTCGCCCTCCCACTGGACATGTTGTGTTCTACATCAGCATGCCTTCGTTTTCTGAAAAATAAGAAAAAGAAAGAAATAGCTGATTAATATTTTTGCAACCTGGTGTTCCACTGCGTCGAGGAGCACTTAATAAATGTAACATGGGTGAATTCTTTTGTCAGTCTCGGTTGTCATGTTTAATTGATATACAATTTGCTCTTCCAAAAAGGTTTTGCGATTTTACGTTTTTTCAAAGCATTATGTTGTATATGCATTTCTATAGATATCTTTCAAACCTCGTGTTCGCCAAACGAGTTACTTTCTAAGTATTTTATCTGGTTAATGCATACTTTCATTTTTTCTTTCTTTTCTTCCCTTTAAGCTTCAAGAAGCCCTTGAAGAATCTGAAAAGAATGCAAGGTGAGCTCCATATACTTCCACGAGTAATGCAACGTTAAATTTTATCCCATCGGTTGTATGAAACGTAACTGAACTCCATGGCTCGTGGTAATTTTTATGGATCTTTGGTAAATGTCTGTGTCCTTAGAATTTCCGTATTGTTCAACTCCAAACAAATTGTTGCCCTTTTTTCACTGTAAGTTCACGTCTGTAAGGGTGGAACAAAGATTGCTCTTAACAGAAACGGCTGCATTTCTGTCAACTGAATCGAACTGAGAAACAGATGGGAAGAAACCACACAAGCCCGGCCATCAAGAGCACAAACATTCAGAGTATTTTGTGTTATTTTCACTCGTCCGCACAAATTCACAAATGATGAGGGACAAACAATATCTAGATGGTATGGGGACAATTTCCTGAAGGGAAACTATGACAAGTACAATGCAATGTTGATAAATAGAGGGAAAAACAGCGACCATTTCATAAATGTAAACATTGATGGATATACCATCAAGTCCACCCCAGACCTCAAATTGCT